TCGCGTCCGGCGACACGACAAAGGGATGGTTGAATTTATTTCTCCCGATACCAACCACGTGCTCCGCCATACCATTTATGCATATATCGTAACCACCGACCGCGTTCATTACCATGGAACACAACTGGGTTTTCACTTCATCTCGATGCTTGATCAAGGAGACTGCGGCTTCTGTATCGATTAAACACCTCTCTGTTGCTCCATGCATCTTTACCATAGCTTCAATCGTACCTTTGTTCAGGGTCCCAAGTATGCACTCTACAGCACGAGAACAATACTGTTTGTACCTTTTGGTACAAATAGTGTAGTGCCGCTTGCCCCAGTTTCCCACAAAAGAAGCACCCGTAAACAACAAAGTTCGCTTGGAAGGTTCGAGTGACACGTTTCTACGGGGATCAAAGGAACAGCAACCAGGAACTGGATAACGGTATTATTTACAAATGAATTCATGCCTATATACGACAAATACCACAACAATTATGCTTCCAAACTCGGAACAGTTACAATGACAATCGTTTGATCCGAGTCAACGCGTCCAGCTACAGAGCGTTCGATGTACGAAGTCACGGCACTAAGGTACGCCAATCTGCTCCAACTTCTAACCTGTCCAATCGCTTGCTGTCTTCTGAATGCTGCCGCTGACTCTTGTACTAACACTTGCCACTCGAGCAAGTTCCACCACGGCCGTTTTCTGGGTGACGTTCACAATCCGCAATCGATGGAGGTAGACCGTCAAGAAACTGTTCCACTAACAGTTGCTGTCTTACGTCGTCGTCCAAAGCTGGCAGCGCCCGCTGAGATAGACCACAAACACGACCAGATCTGCTCCTATCGCAAGCCGGGCCGCAATGAATCGCCGCATAGCATCCTGGTGGTCCGCCGGACTGTCCGACCCCGCGATCAGCGCCTTATTCGCGGTCGCCCATTCCAAATTGTCTGGACCTCCTTTCGCCACCTCCAGGATCGCATTCGTCCGTCCCCTGAGCAGACTCTGAAGCGCAACCAGTTACGCCCGCTCCTGCTTCCGACTGCTACCGCAACATCGAAGTCCTCCAGGAATCGCCATGCATCCCGATCCTCAAATGGCTGTGGCTCTGGGACTATGTCCCACCACCTGCTGGTCACAGCAGCAAAGTATGGAGGAAGCAGGGCGGCGCGAACGAGTTGTGTCGTAGAGAATGAACGTTTACATGGTATAGCGTTCCTAACATGGAATAGTCGGACTCATTTGCGCTCATCATTTGATTCCATGCTGCGCCTTGCGCTATTGACTCAGCTTGCCGTCACGCTATGGCATAGGTTCAACGCTCCAGTGCCATCCATTTTCAGGGCTAGTTGGATTCTGCACTACACGCTCGTCGTCCGCGGTGATCCATTATTCGCAGAGTTCTTCGTGCCTGCTAATTCACCATCCTACTCATTAGTAGTGCACCGCAGGCTCATAATCAGCCAAATTTTGTTCTCTAAGACTGAGGCTTTGCGACCTGAGGCTACTTTATCCAGCTCGTCTTTTGTATAGTAAGTTAATTCTGCGTCTGACCCTCTTCAAGCGCTCCATCACTATGGTATGCGTAGTTTTGCATGCTCTGTAACGTGCCGCATGGCTGGCGTCATTGGATCCCACTGGTACCCGCAGTCTCACATCAAGTCCATGTGGTTTATCGTAGCTCCTGCTCACTAGTTACCTAGAGATTAAAAAGTTGAAAGTGGAGTTTCTTTCCACACCACACTTGAGACAGATACATTTCACCACTGCCGCATTGTTTTACCTAAGTCTTATTTCCTCCAAGTTACTCTCGCCTGTTTATTGCATTCTCTATTTCCGTATTGCTTATCAGTTAGCATTCATTCTCTCCTGCATTCCCTACTGTTCTCCCTAAGTTATTTGCGTGCTCATATCCACTGCTTCTCTCCACACGTGAAGTGCATCAGGGTTACTGTCGCTTGGCTCTTCGAGAATGCAAGACTCAAGATTGGTTCTGGTCAAAATCTACTTCACACTGAAACGACGTGCTGCTTATTTTGCGCAGTACGTCACAAAGCGACCATTTGTTAAGTTGGCTATAGAATTGAAGACTGGTAGCTCAGGTTGTTCAGATGGCTGTTGAACTGTTCGCTGAGCTTGGCAATTTTGTTGCAAACGTTTCGTCACCAATCGAGGTGACATCATCAGTGCGTAGTGGAGTGGCGTGCAATAGCGTAGAGTAGCGTAGAGGTGCCTCGGTGAGAGTGCGCTGAGCGTGGTGTGCGTGCGTTTTTATACCGTCGTGGTTGTCCGTGGATCCGAGCAATCCTATTGGTTTGGACTTCGATCCGTGTTCAGCTTGCTTAATGGGCAGATGACCTTAACCTCACCTCCTTTGTTCGCTTGCTCATGCGAGCGAGTTTGCCGCCAGTTCGGGTTGTCTAGTCACACGTTCCACCGGATTCAATCGATCAAGTTGTCGTTCTTTCTCAGTAGCGTGGAGTATACTGCGTCAAGTTCGATGTGCCGATTGATTGCATGCGTTGTAGAGTACCAGGCTTCCAAAAATTCTCTCTCGTGTTTTGTACTTCCATGTGCTAGGATCTTTACCCTCTCCAGATCGAAATGGTGACCTTCTTGATCTTCATGCGCGGAAACCAATGAGTGTGGATCGTGCCTTCTGACGGCCGCCTTGTGTTCGGTGATTCGTATACAAAGTTTTCTTCCAGTTTGTCCGACGTAGATTTTATCGCAGTCACTGCATTTTAGCTGGTAGATGACATTGCATTGGTCGGCTTCATTGACTTTTCCTTTGGGTCTTGAGATCAATTTCCTTAGGGTGGCACTTGGCTTGTGAGCCACAGAGATTCCATGTGATTGCAGCAATCTTCCTGTTAGTTCGGAGACGTTCTTGATGTAGGGCAGCACTATCCGTTTGTTTGATTGATCAGATGATTGCTGCGGTTGCTGAGGCATTCGTTTCTTTAAGCTTCTTCTGATGAAAATTCTCGGATAACCGTTGTTTCTAAACGCTTGATATAGGTCTTCTTCTGATATAGCTCTTCTGGTATACAAGTATACCAGCAACTGAGAGGAACACCCATGGGATCACCAATTTCGGGGCTCATTGCAGAAGCCGTAATGCAGAAATTGGAGCGCATTGCACTGTCATCCATCAGCCCGAAACTCTGGATACGATACGTGGACGACACCTTTGTCATCGTAAAACGGAACAGAGTACAGGCCACTCATGCTTTGCTCAACAGCACATTCGAGGATATCAAATTTACGCTTGAATTAGAGGAGGATAACAAGCCACCCTTTTTGGATGTACTGATCACTGGGAATGGAGACGGATTTGTCGAAACGTGCGTATATCGGAAGAAAACGCATACGGATCAGATATTAAACTACTACAGCAATCACCCGAAGAGCTGCATTCAAACCTTGTTCAAGAGAGCGGAAACGCACTGCAGCACAGCCGAATCGCGGAAACAGGAAGAGCATCACCTATATCAAGCGTTTAGAAACAACGGTTATCCGAGAATTTTCATCAGAAGAAGCTTAAAGAAACGAATGCCTCAGCAACCGCAGCAATCATCTGATCAATCAAACAAACGGATAGTGCTGCCCTACATCAAGAACGTCTCCGAACTAACAGGAAGATTGCTGCAATCACATGGAATCTCTGTGGCTCACAAGCCAAGTGCCACCCTAAGGAAATTGATCTCAAGACCCAAAGGAAAAGTCAATGAAGCCGACCAATGCAATGTCATCTACCAGCTAAAATGCAGTGACTGCGATAAAATCTACGTCGGACAAACTGGAAGAAAACTTTGTATACGAATCACCGAACACAAGGCGGCCGTCAGAAGGCACGATCCACACTCATTGGTTTCCGCGCATGAAGATCAAGAAGGTCACCATTTCGATCTGGAGAGGGTAAAGATCCTAGCACATGGAAGTACAAAACACGAGAGAGAATTTTTGGAAGCCTGGTACTCTACAACGCATGCAATCAATCGGCACATCGAACTTGACGCAGTATACTCCACGCTACTGAGAAAGAACGACAACTTGATCGATTGAATCCGGTGGAACGTGTGACTAGACAACCCGAACTGGCGGCAAACTCGCTCGCATGAGCAAGCGGACAAAGGAGGTGAGGTTAAGGTCATCTGCCCATTAAGCAAGCTGAACACGGATCGAAGTCCAAACCAATAGGATTGCTCGGATCCACGGCCAACCACGACGGTATAAAAACGCACGCACACCACGCTCAGCGCACTCTCACCGAGGCACCTCTACGCTACTCTACGCTATTGCACGCCACTCCACTACGCACTGATGATGTCACCTCGATTGGTGACGAAACGTTTGCAACAAAATTGCCAAGCTCAGCGAACAGTTCAGCAGCCATCATTTGTTAAGTGTCGAATATGCCAAAGATGTGGTTGTGAGACTAAATGTCTGTTCAGAAATTTTTGCGCTCACTGCAAAATTTGGCGCACACGTCATGCTTCTAATTTATTGTGTTGCTGCGAGACAATGTTAAAACACCACTGATATGAAACCTTGGACGATGTTTGTCCAATTTATCGTGATAGTTGTGCCAACTCTAGCGGTAGACGTAACATGAAATCGATCTAAACGCATATCGCACTAGTTCAGGGGTCAGTGCAGTCCACCTCGACTAGCTTTTTTCCTAAACGCCCTCAAATGGACCTTGACATTGCCTGCACATTGGTTCCACCAGAAATGAGCCGGCCCGTAACCTAAGGTAACGAACTTGTCTTCTGATCTGATGGCTCAGGATCGAGTCTGCGTAGCAACAGGGCGGCCATCGCCGTATCCTTAGTCTACGTGCGACCGATGGTAATTGCGCGGCAGCGAAGCGTTCGTACTGCGTATCGGCATCTGCTCAAACCCTCATGATTTTTAGCGATATATGCTTTTATTGGTTGTATTTTCCTCCTCGAAATTAGTTTGCTCATTTTTCCTTTTAACTTATTTATTCTATCACATTTGTCTACAGGTTCCCCCTACTACGAATCCCGCTCAGTTCTACGCCGTCCCTGAAGCCATATGGAGTGACCGCTTACCTGATGTGTTTTTTGGAGACCGTTCACCAAATATCACCCCCCCAACGAACAATGGTGGGCCGCTCGCCCCTGGCAAAGAAATGTGTGACTATCAAACTCCCCACTCGAATCTTGTAGCTCAACTATCTCACGCACTCCAACCACACAATACTGGTTTCTTTGTCTTCTCCATACTTGCTGGCCATCTAGACCCCGTTATGAACAGTACTCTTTCTGCAAACTCAAACACAAACACCGCATCGCCAACCCCTCCTGTTCATCTGGTGTTTTTCCTACAGCGATTAGTTTCGTTGTTCCTAACAGCCGTTTCTTCTTCATCGGGCTCTTGCATAAGGCCCCCAACTAAGTTCCACCCCTCTCTGGCTTCATCCGAATTGTACAAGTTAGTTACCCTTCCTTCGCTCTTTGTTATCATTGCATTTTCTTTGTGTTTTGTTCACCATGTGATGCTTAAGCATCATCCATCTTACAAGTGGATAATCATGTTCTCACCAACTTAGCGATACACCACCATTAGTTAGCACATCTTGTGAACACACACAGTTGACGTCCACTGCGCATTTAACTAAGTTGCTGTTTGCATGCCCGGCAAATTTCCATCTGTATGCGTTTTATTTCCGGTTGCTTCATGTGGTTAAGTGTGACTCCGTCGGAGTTAACCAGTCATATGGTAAACGGTCGTGAAGAAATTAGCGTAAAAGCTCCATCGATCTAATACATGCTGTCCTTCTGTGTGGAGCCTTCCATTTGAAGGTCCTTTATGACTTGGTATGGTTCCGAATTCAAAGGTTGTCTTGCGTTCTGCGCGTTATTTACACCTGCCTAGGTAACTTTTGACGATTGCGACTATTCATTTCATTTTTGTTGTTGACTATTCGGAGCTCGACGACATTCGTGTTTATCATCTCATTGTTGTCACTCGCTGTGTTGTACAGTGACCATCAATTCAGTTACTTAGTGATGACGCTCATACAGAACCATAACTGTTATCATTGCGCGGAAATATTTTAACACTGCAAGTGGGTTACTCAGGTTCTCAATCTTTGAATTGCTTCCTAGTCTCTTTCCGATAGTTGTCGCGTTGCTTGCTTCGAGCTCCATGATCGCTTTGAATATCCTCGTCCTTTTTCTACCATCTAACCTGTGTTAAGTTCACCCTTTTATCTCTTGCATCATCTCAGCATCTAGGAAAAGTTTGTTGTTCTCCGTAACTGCCAGTCAGTCGGCGTAGCGGATCCTGATGTGTGATCACCAAATACTGTTTAATGCTCCACTCTAGGTCAGTTGGTTGTATTGGTACCTAGGTGGTTCGGATGATCGAAATCGACGCAGTACCAATGGACAGGGGGTCAACGAAATGCCGCACACGGTAACTGACCATAGCTGCACGGTACAGAGAATGGCACCGGATTGGATCTGACGTAGCACAAGCGTTGTGCAACATTGTCGCAGATATGGAAGGACCTTGAGCGAACTACACACGCACGCTTACTAATCTAGGCCGGTGAAAAGGCATGCAATGGCCACTGGTTAGCTAAATGGGCGGAAACCAAATCGATTACCGCCTACTTTGGCTCAGCATAATTGCACTGGCTAGATATGAATTGCAATGGATCACGAGTAACGTGACTCCGGGCAGGGGAGACGTGAATTGGACTGATCACAGCGGCAGTTAATATGAAACGCTACGGTGGAGGATACCCAGTGGAGATTTACCACATGGAAATTGCATCTTGAGTGTAAGCCCAGTATCGGTTACCTCATAGTTCATGAATGGATGATTTTGATCACAGCCCATCCTTTGCTTTGACTCGTGGAGGGCTACAACGACGATGCGTTCCACCGCTTGTCCGTTAGCCGGACTTTCTACCGGTACGCTCTTTCGATATTTTCTGACCTTAACCCGTAGATGTTCCGCAACTCTCATGTGACCGATGCACAATCGAAACCATTACTCCGATTCCGGTTAGTAGTACGCCCCACTCTCTGTTGGACAATCAAGTGCGGAGATTCTTTGAAAAAGCCCCTCATTTGAAGTTTACTTGCTCCCACCTATCTTACACATGGATATGTCGATGCATATAGTATGCTTGTGAACTTTTACGAGGCAAATATCATCAACAAACTTACTTTCAGTTATCAGTCATTTTGCACCCTTCAATTCAGCTCACTCTTCTTTATTTCTGTGGACCACCGTTTGACCAACTTTGCCATGCTTGTTACTTCTAGAATTACTACCCGATTGAACAACAAACTGATCGAGCTGGTCACTTCCGTATCGAAGGACCCTCGTCGGGATTGGCAGGCCATATGGGGTCTTCTTTTGTCCTCGGCGAATCGCTTTTTGAAGAGGTAGGTTTTCAACAGTGATGTGGTGACACTTATCTCTTTACCTTTATCGCATCATCCTTTTTAAGCAGACTTAGACACCTAGCTCTTCGGCAGACTGTTTTGGCACTGTACAGACTGAAACCCATCTGTTCTGCCTTGCGGTGTTCCTTCCATAGGAATGACCGCATTCTTGACAGTGTCTACCTCCATCTCAAATGGTAGCTTTTACTCACCGGAACCGCACAGTGTTAACTGCCACCCGTTCACATATATGCTGCTCCCAATAACCAGTAATCATCCGAGCTGTTTTTTAGTTCGCTAAGCTGTTTGGTGGCTTGAAAAGGTGGGCAGCGAAGGATGAGTCTTGTTATCCTGTGACAAATAACCGGATCATGGCGTCATTTACTGTCCATGATAAATTGGTTTAGTAGCTTGCCTCTTAGGTGACTGTTGTGGATTCCAGTTCCCTTAGGATTCGAGTTGACCGAGGGTATTATGGAGTTCATCGGTTCCAATCCGCGTATGTCCTAGCGACTTCGTGGCATGCCAAGCTCACGCAGGACTTGTGGTGGTCGTGTGACAGCGAAGCGTCGATGCAGTGTGCCAGCGTACTACTGATGTCTGTCTTCTTATTTTCCCTTAAGCCTCAGAGAAAATGCATGCTTTTGGATCCTGTTAGGGAAAGTCGATTTTGCAATACTTTAACACACATTTGTTAGTCATGTAGATGCGACGATTCTTCTAGGAATTATCTCCTTTTCTGCTTCTCTTGCTCCATAACCGATCTCTCCATTGACCGGAGACTTTAGTGACAAATGTTTGGAGCACCACAATTTCCGTTCACGATGAAAATTTGCTTTTAATCATTGAGAACTGGTCAGTCGGAGTTCATTGTGCTCCACACTGACTGGAATAAGCCGTTGACGATCAAGTAGTTCCGACGATGTCACCGAGTCCCAACTTTTACCTGTCGATCGAACAGGACCACAAGTTGACGCACCCGCAGAAAACATGGTCTGTTGTAACTCCAGTCAAGTCGAAATAGGCTTTATACACCTAACTAGGTGCATTATCGGCGTTGTCACTATCTCTGCGGATACACTAAATAAATTGGCCCAGTTAAAAATACATAAACACAAATTGAAGAATTAAATAGTCAAAGGTATGTGGATGTTGAACAACCAACCGCATGCAGAAAGCATTTGTGACTTACCTAGGGTAGACAAGAAAGCGTGAAAATAAGGCGCGATTATGTTACGATACGAGGAAGTGCGAGAGAATAAAATCCTAAATTTTGTGCATGTATGAAACACGGATGAAGTTTGTGGGAGAGCATTATGTAGCGGATGAAAGCGGTCACTTAGGACCTTAGAAGCAAAATTCGTACAAGCGTCAAAATGCTTGCCAGCAATAAAATCAACTATGGAATCTCTTGGCAAGTCACCACATCTGGAAATTTGTTTAATCGACCGCGCAATCAAAACATAGCCCTTTTGCAGTAGTCCATGGGAGATTACTGGGGAACAATACAACCAGTAGGGTAGTATACATGCAGTTACAAATCTCAAAATTACGCTTCGCGGTACGGAGAACTTCTTACGTCGGTAAGCAATAAAATATAACCTTTTGACCTTGTTAAATGTATCCAACGCGTGCATGGACCAAGAGATGTTCTGTGAAAACTAGACACCAAGATATTTGACAGTGGATGAAATATGAATGGTTTTGTCCTCCAAACTTAATAGAGGACAGGCATCTGAAATTACTCGCAATTTATCAGGAAGGTGAAATGAAAATGTTACCTCAGTACATTTCAGAGCCTTAAGGTTAAGGGACCTGGTTGAGAAGCAACTCACAAGTTCATCTAAACCACATTGAAGCGTAGACGTCTCAGTGGAGGGAGATCTGCACCCCAAGACATCGTCAGCATATTTTCATCCAATGAATGTTGCTGATTTGGGGAGACTTTTGACATATAAAGTGTATCGCGCCCTGCAAAACACCAGTCAGTGCCTGGCATAGAGGTGCTTTTGTCGTTTAACTGGGTAAAGGAACGCGATCAGTGGACTAGTCACGCAACAACTTACAAACATCAGGATGGACTCCGTTCGAATAAAGTAGGTTAAGCAGAACTGATCGATCAAGGCTCCCAAACGCATTTGGATTGTCAAGAAAAAGTACTCATACGGACCTGCACTTGTTATCCAGCGCAGAGGCTATTGAATGCACAAGGTACGAGACAGCATCAAGCGTGGAGCGCTGGGATTTAATCGCAGACTGGTAGACATCATCAGCACTATTGGCTGTAAAATCCGTGGAACTAGTAGCTTTTCGAGGACTTTTGAGAAAAATATCAGGAGATGTAAGCTGTGAGTACCTGGTCATTTGGTGCATATCTCCTCAGTCACGTACAAGGCAACTAACAATTTGGAAACAAGCAAGGCCGCATACGGTCGGTTGGTGGTCAGCTGATGGCCAACTATTACTGCAGCACTACCACGGTAGGCTCAACTGCTTCTGTACGCAAAGAGGCGGCCGCTAGCCATCGATTACAGTGGCTTCAAGTAGCTTAAGTATATGTGACCTTTGGTTACGCATGAAGATAGTGAATGAGTCACTTGGGTTGACCTGGTGGCCACTGTTCAGTAGATGCTTTGTAATTGCCGAGGCTATCCGGCCTCCGTATTCACGCGGTTCCACCATCTGAGATCCGATTCGCTTGCGCAACCATTTAGAGTTGTGCTCATCGTTCCTGACGCCTAGACTTCGGTCAGTGCGCCCAATATAGCTATCCTCACAGCTACAGTTACTTGTGTGTAAACAATGGGACATGCACGGCTTCGTCCTCGGTGTTTTCAATGAGCACATAAGCAATGGTCTTGTCGATGTGAGCAACCGCAACTCTGCCGCAGTATAAGCCTTTTTCAACGAGGCGCTTATCCGTTTCATGGCGACTTTCATGATGTGATCACCTTTGAACGACAGGTCAATGAAAATCGGTTCCCTCTGGACAGTCGTCATTGATTCTCGCTTCGTCGTATCACAGACGCTCTCTATTAACTGAAACGGGTAACCATTGGATTGCAACGTGTCGAACAGGAAACCTCTTTCTATTTCAAGTGTGTCCGGCGTACAAATTGGTTTGGTTCGATGGAACAGTGTTCGGACCAGAGAACGTTTATGTTGTATTGGTGAGAAGCTTTTAACATCTAGCTATTGGCCCGTTCAGCTTGCTTTCCGTTATACAGACCGCTTGGTGAAACCATCCAACCTTCGTATGAGCAAAACGTCTGTGCGTACAGAAGCAGTTGACGGTAACATTGAGGCTGCCGTGGTAGTACCGCAGTAATAGTTAACCATAAGCTGACCACCAATCGACTGCATCCGACCTTGCTTGTTTTCAACTTGTTAGTTGCCTTGTACCTGACTGAGGAGATAGGCACGAAATGACCGGGTCATCTCACAGCTTACGTCTTCTGATATTTCTGTTTAGATATATAAAGGGAATTTCTTGTTTCATACTTTTGAGAACACGGAAGAAACACCAACCAGCTGCCCTCGTCACAGTTGCCGTGGGAGCTACGGTGACTTAGTACGCTTGGTGGGAGTCGATTCAACAAAACTTGTCGTAGTTTTCTTCCCAGAATTTATGCTTCAGTTGTTTATACGTTTTAGTACAAACGGTTTGTTGTTGTCGTCTTCCTTGCCTTGAATGTTGTTGTTTGGCGTCTCATTGATGAAATTCCCTCTAACTTTAGAAGTTGCAGATTTACTTTCGAGTCTCTAGTTTCTACTACGCAGTACTCATAACTGACCGGAGCACTTAGTGAGTGATCCGCCAACAGGTCTTTGCAACAAACCCTGTAGTGCCACTCTGCAGTCCGATGAATCTACGACTCCCGTGTTGGTCATGTCATATTCTTATCATATCTGGTAACCACCTAGTTTGATAAGTTGACTGGTGACGATGTGCCCTTTCGTATAAAATTTTAATGCATCCACTTTGTAACAGCGAAGTACGCGGTACAATTCTACGCATTCGTTGGATCCAACGGTGGCATTCTGTTTGCTTTGCTACATAGCTCGGATGTGGTCCCATCAGCGGCGATCCGGTGCCCTACACATGCGATTGCTGGCTTCTGATTGCAGGTTGTTTCATCACATTTCTCTTTCATGATATACCCATCACTTCTTAGACGAACTGTTCTCTGGGCTTGGCGATTTTGTCGCAAACGTTTCGTCAGCAGTCGAAGTGACATCAGTGCGTTGGTGTAACGTAGCGGTGTAACGATCCATCGCTACAAATGGACAATCTGCGTTACCCGTATTTACTTCTATACCAATCCCTGTCACTTTTCCCTTTGGATCCCTGCTTTTTGTTGCAAACATTTACCTACCTCCGTCCGGTGTCAAAATGTTGGTTGTTTCTGTCTCTAATTTAAATAAACTATACTGAACTCAAACTTTGACATTTGTTAGAAGCGTCTTCCTTGTCCAATTTACCACACTTTTATCCGACCCTAACGTCTCTCCTGCAGCGCCGAGAAATGGGTTCTATCCGAGGCGTATTCGGCAATTGTCCATGAGGTGCCCGGCGACTCCACTACTTGGCCATCGTTAAAACTGAATGTGGCGTCCGGCCTTTGCTTGGCGCGTGCGTGTGACTTACTGGTGGACTTGTGCCCCTCTGTTGGAGCTATTGTGATCGCGGGCACTGGCGTAATCGCGTCAGCTCACCACTCACACCAGATCTGCGGCCCATACGACACCGTGGTTGATGGAAACCACAACCAGGAGTACGTTCAGCGTCCCATCCTCACTGTTCGTATTCTTTATTAGACCGAATTTAACATTATTTCATATCTTTTCCGTTTTTATCGACTTGCATCCCTCACTGAATGATTCTCTCCAGTCGTTCCTTTGTCATCTGCATTCGCATGATGCAACTTGCTGTTACACTTCGGGACCGACTTGCCACCAGTTCTCACTGTCACCGGTCGGTCGGTCGATCGCCGAGTGTTTCAGGCCGCTTTAAATCTGCACATGTGTAGACGATCTCGCTTCGTTCCTTGCCGCAAGCGACGATTGGTGGTCGCGCGGCATAGAAGCGTCAGTACGAGAAATGTGAAGCACATTTTTTCTACTACCCCTCAGTAAAGCATTGGCGTTGCCTAGGTACAGAGTATGAGTTTTTACGGTCGCTTGCTGTTTAGAGCAAGCGGTACATGTCGTACCTACTTACTTTTCCAAATTCACTATTTGAATCAAAACTTCCGCAGACAGCCTTCATTCTCCTGGTCCAACGTTTCCTACCTACGCACCGCCTGGAGTTCGTCCTGCTCTCCACTGAAACGCTTATCCACACACATTGCTCTAGACTGTCTTCTGAAGGCTACAGTCTCCGCAGAACATTTGGACTCGTTTCACAATTCATTGTTGCGCGCCTTCACTTCCATCGCCACAAATTCGGACACACAATTTCAGTCGGTCACTGGTTTACTATTTGAAAACGACCAGCTAGGCACCTGCTCCAAAAGTCTCCCAGTGAGTTGGTCAAGCAATGTGCACTTTTGTTTTCAAACTTAAGCTCCATGTTCGCGCTACAAAATCCTGTGCTATTCATTGTTATCGTGGTTGGTGTGGGGCCAGCACCTGCCTCATAAGTTGTCTGTCAGATTGACGACGTCGATAGACTTTTGTTCTCTAGGCTCATCTCTTCTATTTCTTCCCTCCCAGCCTTTTACCAACTTACAAATAAAAACTGAAGCTGAGGCACCGGAAAATGGTTATTTCACTGCGGTACGTGTCCCGTCGTCCATCACACTGCCGCTTCATCAATTCTTGCTGACTGTCGTACAAGACATCAGTCAGCTTGTTATCTCTGCGACACCGGGGTATGTTGTCACATTTTTCTTCTCCCGCGAGCCGCTTTTACGCTGACACTTACTGGCCACTTTTTGTATCCTTTAGCTTTACTGTGACGTCGGCCGGTAGCGGAAAAAATTACGCGCTTGGCTCGTAATCCGGAGATTGCCGATTCGACCTCGTAGTGCGCCCAGCCCACACACGATTGGGCGATCACATGACAGCGAAGCGTCGGTGCAATGTTCAGTTTGGTAGGATGTGCAGGCGTACCACTGACGCCCCTCATCCTTCGAAGCCTTAGTGATTTCTGTTTTGAGAACATTACCTAGTTGCATCAGGTTTCTGTTTACAGTCTTTCTTCCTAGTGGTAATTCACATGAGCTACGTGCACCTCGAGTTCATTAAAGTTGTAGACGAAAAATGCCTGAAGTTCGGCTGCCACCGCAAGCGTCCCGGTGTCCGGAGTGAATTTCGGTCAATTTGAGGAATCACCTTTGTTGGGTTTACTTGTCACAATCCATCCACATAACAAGAACTCTAAACAGTTGGTCAGCGATTCTTTGACTACTTTGATAATCCATTACGCACAGAACTCCGTGGTGTAGGCGCCTACCTCATTTATTTGCCTCCCGAATTCGACTCCCATATTTACTGTCTTCACCTGAAGGGTGAGTCCAGTTGAGAGCGAAGTCAGTGACAGAGTGTAACACCGGAAATGTCCGCGTTTCACATACGGTCCAGGTTGAGTTCACGTATCGTGGTCCATATACACAGCTGTTTGTTTCCAAAAACCCAACAGTGCGACCTGTACCACTTTTCCCTATTCATTCTCAACTTGCAGATTTTCTTACCTCATTGTCTTTAGCCGATATCCAAGGCTTAAAGCGTTTACTCATGTGCTCCTTTCAGCTTTCCGTCGATCCAAAAACTGTCATTGAGTATCTGCTCTGCGCTGTTGGGTGTCTATAAACGAGTCGTTCAACACATAGTCGTACAAAGGGAGTCGGATTCTCTTGGATCTTCCAACAGTCGGGCTTCTGAGCAGGATTCCTTTTCGCCCTCTATCAGGAGCTCCAACCTGCAAGACGCTGCCTTACAACTTATCTTTGACATTCACTTCTTGTTGCATTTGTTGAATTGGCCTCATGCAGCTTGCGACACCTTACTCCCACCGGTATGTGACTCAGTTCGACTTCTTGACGTATCCAACGCTGTACCTATGGTTTTATCCTCTCCTTGACTCTTATATTTGCATTTAGCCTTTATTTTGACTAGATCTCAATTATTACTTTACGGTTACTCCCATCACCGTTCTGGTCCCATTGTAGGTCACAAGTGAAGCTAAATCTGGGGACGAATCAGCCAGTGTGCGAAAGACAGCCACGGAGCTCCTGGAGCTGTTGCAAACTCTGGTTGATCCCTTTGACTGGGATTTCTGCCATTCTCAGGTGCTTTCCGGCGTATCACGGTGTCTGCGCTCCTGTTCTCATCTATACTCACTTTTGATGCGACCGGAACCGGTCGGTCATTCCTTACCTGAAGAAAGTCGTGCCGCAGCGGGAACCGATTCTGCTCACTCCCAATACGCTTCGTTCGTACCCCTCATTTCTTCTCAGCACACCACTTTTGCCACACTTCCGATCAACATAGCGCGTTACAGCGGCAGAAAACAGCACAAGGCTCACATGGCCTCGTCAGCTTCATCAAACCGATAAACACTCTTGTACTCCGAGATTTTTTCTATTTAGTTTAGTACCATTTTCATTTTCGAATATTTATCACGCTTTAGGCCTGGTTACTTGTTCTCTTCCTTCACCAGTCACTGCCTGTCCAACTACTGTGATACATGTTTTTCTCTGATCGCTGTTATCGCAGTACAGTACTCCGCAGGTAGTATGCATGCATTGTGTCTGATTGTCTTGTGAAACCCACCTAATGGGCCTCACAACTGCATCTATGATACTTACAACTGCACTGGCGCAAAGGTAGCCATGTACGTTGTGGCTACCATACGCGAAGCCTAGACTAAGAAATAATCACATGAGATGGGATATGAAAACTATAACCTAGTGTATTCATACTAGACGCACAGCCTGGGCAGAGAAAGTAAAACGTAAATTCATGTTATCATAGTTCTATACTTCAAAGTAAAGTGTGATCGACTTACAAAACAGGTTTACAGTCGCAGTGAAAAATGGCGAAAACTGGAAGACGTGCGGAGACGGTACAACGCAGCAGTTTGCTACATTGCAGTCTGTCAATGTGTAATATTCCACCTTGAAGAGCCAAGCATATAGCAATTGTTCGAAATGGAAACGTGAAGTGTTTCGTGATATAAGTGTTCGAAGCAAATATCTGTAAATTTCTATAAGGAATTAAATGAAGGGTTTGGGAACAGGTATATCATATCATCAAGTAGGTCATGCAGTTTGGCCTAATAATCAAAATTTTGTTTAGACTTTACACTCCCCGGGGCCGTTCTATTCCCTTCATTGACTTCCACAACTTCCTCATACTTTTCCTTGTATGCTCTTAACAAGCAGAATTGTCTGACAACCCTTCGCAGCATACCTTAGCTTGTCCTCATCAACACTTGCCGCGCCAATTGATCTTTGCCTTGCATGTTTTCTTCTACGATTGCCTTTTCTCATAGAATTGTTGAAGTGCGTTAATCACAAAGCATAACTAGATCACCCTGCCTTAACTCTCTAACTTTAGTTAACCATTTCTGTCTTTGCTGTAGTTTCGGTAAGCACACTCCAATCCATCTACGCGAAAACACCGGAAAAATGACTTACCTGTCTCCATTTTCTATTCAGTTACATCGATGAGTTGATCGTTCGGTTTTCATGGGGCTAGTCGTTCGCCAGTGTCCATAGTTGTCTCGGTGATATGATGTCATGAGGGTCAGGTGCGTCAAGTACCCCTACTAAAGATCGATCATTCAAAATCCTTTCAATTTCAGCAAGCCTCGTCATAAGCACTTCTTCTGTTATCATCTCGCCGCTGACAATGCTACTCAACAGAAACCAACTAGGAAAACGATGTGTGAAAATGCGAACCTATCAAAAATAACTTTATCGAACTCTAAAAAGCAGTCATTGTCCGAGGTATACAACTCAATGCCAAGGACTCTAATCCCATCTATTTTCTCGCTGCACTGGAACCAACGCTAAAATCATACAACATCGCATCTGAAGCACTACACTAGATCAAACACAGGATCAGCCAGGCTCTCAATCATAAAGTTGAAATTAACATATTCAGCGCCACGGATAAAAAGCTCTGATGAGCCTCAAAAAAGACAAGAGCATAGTTATACTGCCGGCCTACAAAGAAGGCCTTACGGTTCTAGTGAGTAATACCAATTACATAATGAAGGCACATCATCCGCTCAGCGATACCAACCGATAAAGGAAGACCAGACAAAACGCTTAGAAGGCAACATCAAGCGCAGTCTGCTAAAGCTGGAACAAATGGAGCGAATCGCAAAATTGGAACGCAAACTGATTAAACCGCAAGATCCGATACTACCTCGATTCTACGATCTACCAAAAGTACACAAAAGTAGAGTGCCTCCGCCCCATCGTGTCGCTACCTGGAGCACTAAGCTACAGACTTGCACAAGTGCTCTGGAGACGGCTAAAACATCTAATTGCGGGATTAGAAAACTAGTTCAACTCGGCAGAACCGTTCCTAGCAAAACTCAAAACCACAACCATAGAACGAAGCGGAATAATAATCTCTTTTAATGTGACGGCGCTGTTCACATCGATCGACATCAACTTGATGAAACAATGACTCCTCTATCGCAGGAACACATAATTTTCGACACAAGCAGTAAAATCGACTCCAGATAAATATTGCTGAGATTCTGTATAATAACACCCTTCAACGGCCAAATCTACGAGCAGATAAGTGGTACACCAATAGAATTGCCGATTTCTGGACTGGTAATCGAAGCGGTGATGCAGGCGCTAGAACGACTAGCTCTCCCATTTACGAAACCAAAACTTTGGATACGCTATGTAGACGACACATTCGTCTATCGAAAACCAACACATACGGACCAGATTCTCAACTACAACAGCAATCATCCGGCAGTCCACAAGCACAGCTGCGTGCTACCTCATTTCAAAGGAGCACGGACGCATTGTAGCACGCCGTAGCTGAGACAGGCCGAGGAAAACCATCTCTTCAGCCTGTTCAAACGGAATTCGTACTCAAAAGGTTTCATATTGCGCTGTTTGGTCTCGCACAAGGCAACGCAATAGACCTCAACAAATGCAACGCTTGAAAGTCGAGCCGTGTTGCCTTGCATCAACAGAATCTCTGAACTGACAAAGAGACTTGTTTTATCTTTTGGGGTCAAAATTGCCCACTATCCAACAGAAACAAATCGAAATAAACTCTTCAAAGTGAAGGATAAACTTAGCAAGTGGAAAGCATCTGGTCTAATCTACAAGATCTGTTGTCTAAACTGTGACAGATACTACGTAAGACAAACGAGATGGACGCTTGGCACACAGTTACATAAACATAGGCTAGCCATTCGTCGTCATGATCAACTCTTTGATGTTCGTGCAAATGTTGCCGAAAGCCAGCAGTTCGGCCTAGATCGCGTTGATGTCTTCGAAAAAGCCACAATCCGGTAAGCGCGTGAGTTTATGGAACAATGGAACAATGGTATATGACGGGTAAAAAAGCATACACTTAACGAGTCCCGCAGGTTGGCAATAGAAATACTAACAAATTGGCAAACCACATAAGTGGTTGAAGTAAGGAGTGTCAGTGAGATAAAAGGTAGAAGTATAACAGTGTTAGGGGGATAAAGTGGTACGACGCAAAACTGGCTAAGAAATTGTTATCGTTGGTTATGGTAGCAAATAAAATGGAGTACTCACCGGTTCGCACAGATTTACGACCATGAATTTGGGGTAAAAATCCAAAGAAGCTAGTCAGCCTAAATATATACAAGCGTTTTCGTTCATAAAACAAAGCGCAGGGCGCTCAGTGCGACGTCCAATCGTTTTTTAAACGTATCTAATGTGGGGGCACAAACTACTGAGTTTGGAAGGGCGTTCCAGGGCCCGCAGACCCGGAGGGAGAAATAGGTTTTCCGACAGTCTAGACGACTGTACTGTTGGCTCAGCTTTAAACTGTTACCGCGAAGGTTAGTGTTCGGGCTGAGCTTCAAGAGGTGGCGGCATACGTGACTGGGATCGCTCAATATCTGGTACACTAGTATGAGGTCTCCACGAAGTCGCCGGTACCGTCCGCTGAACACTCCGAGAATCTCCAGTCGTTCCTCGTAAGGAGAGTGGCGCAAGCCCTTGACGATTTTCGTTGCTCGACGCTGTGGGGTCTCGAGCGCTGCAAGGTCACGTTTTAGCCAGGGTTGCCAGGCCTGGATTGCATATTCGACGTGAGGACGCACGTAGGCATTCAGCATCAAAGAGAAGATGGATGGATCCAAAATTCCGAATGCTCTTCGCAGGAGTCCAACCTGCTGGTTGCCCCTTTTAGAAGCGGAATCTGACTGTTTGGAACACCCGAGGTCTTCCTGTACCAGCACACCCAAGTCGCGTTCCTGAGTGGTGGTCTTCAGATCGTGTGCCCCAAGCTTGTAGACGTGGACTTGTCGATGGCGGATATGAACAACGCGACATTTGTCCACATTAAACGGCAGGGCGTTTCTCACCGACCAATTCCAGGCCTCATTCAAGTCACGCTGTAGGACTTCATGGTCGTCCGATCGTTTTATCGCCCGCCAAATCTTGAGGTCGTCCGCGAAGAGTAAGAATTTCGACGTAATAACTCTTACTAGATCGTTAATGAAAAGCAGGAACAAACGAGGCCCAAGTACCGAACTCTGCGGTACGCCGCATCCCACTCGAATCGGATCGGAAAAGGATGATCGAACTCTAACTACTAACTGCCGTTCAGAGAGAAAGTTACCGATCCATCCTAACAACGGGTCTCCGATACCGTACTGTTGGAGTTTAATGAGCAGGATTCGATGATCCAGGCGATCGAAGGCTTTCGAAAAGTCCAAGAATGCAACATCGACTCCTGTTCCCTCATCGACAGTCTCGGTCCAGTTGTCACGAGCTATCAGCAGATTCGTCGTACATGAACGATGTTGACGAAACCCATGCTGTTCTGGCGCAATTATGCCGTAGTTTTCCAAGTATCCCATTAACGCATCTGCTATCATCGCTTCCATGACTTTGGCGATCACCGGCAGAAGCGTTACGGGGTGGTAATTGACAGGATCCGATCGACTTCCTGCTTGTATATGGGCGTTATTACACCTTGTTTCCACCTCGAAGGTACGATGTTCTCATCGAAACAGCGCTGAAAAAATGCAGCTAGTGGTTCTGCCAAGTGGATGGCAGCTACCTGTAATGTTTTCGGGTGAAGGTTATCGGCCCCGGGAGAGCTGTGTGGACGCAAGGATAGCAGCTTTTGCAGCACCATTTCTGCAGTGAACGTGACGTTGGATAAAACGGGCGGTGGGGTAACTAGTGGCGGAATATACGTCGAGGCTTGTACACCTTGGAAGATTGGGGAGTACTGGGCCCGTAATGCGTTGGCCGCCTCCTTCGCAGTATGTGTATACCCATTGGTCGTATTAAGTGGTGGGATTCCCCGTTGCACCTTGCGAAGTCCATTCACATGTTTGTAAAGAAGCTTTTTGTTCGCACAGAATCGTTTGGCTAGCTCCTGCTGATGCGTTCTCTTGTCTTCGCGAACCAAAGCACACAGTAGTTGCGATGCGAAACGTATTCCGTCCAGTTTTCTGCGCTGGGGTTGCTTTTATACGTGCGCCATGCCCGATCCCTTAGAGTCATGCATTTTCGCGTCCGACTTCGCAATAATGATTTCGCTGTGCAGGGATGTTGGGAAACTTTTGGTGTTGAGGCTTCTATGACTAGTGACGTGATGGTGTTCGCAAATGTC